AGCTCCTTCCTCTATAATAGCATTATCAGCACTTAAAAAAGTGCGTTGGTCTCCAGGAAACATATCTAAAACAGTATAGTTGATATCATCTACATCATCATTTCATGCAGACAAAATAGTTCTGTTTTTTAAATATAACTAAGAAAAATTTTACTAACAATTGTTAATGTAGAATTTATTTTGTATAAAATTACGATAAAATTCAAAATACCTAAATTTGATTCAAAGAGTACAACAAATCAAACTTAATTTCGATATTCGAAATAACTTGTACCAATTGTGATATAATTCGAAAGTAGTTAAATTAGCAAAAATATCTTTACGTACGTACGTACGTATGTATTCAAAGTTCCAAATTATTTTATTTGCATAACGATAATTATCGTGGCTTTCCACTGGAATTCTAAAAAAGGAATTTTGAAAAATGGGCAAAATTGGTCCGATTAAAAGACCGTGACACAGATATTTTATGGTTCATGTCCATTGCAGTTTGACATCTATCACTATCATCAGAACGTAAAGATTTCATTTATATACTACGTAAACATATGTAATGGCTCTGCCGGCCGATTGCGTAGGAGAAATAATATGTCATCTTCAAGGGGATGTTTCTTCACTATACTCTTGCGTTTTTGTCAGTCGCTTATGGTGCGATAACGCAACACGCATGCTTTGGCGTCACCCTTTCCGAGTAACTAAAGATCTGCCAAAAGAAAAACGTGCCGCTTTGATTGAAACGTATCTTTGCTGCCTTAGTAACGAAGACAAAGCTCGTCTCGCAAAAAGTGAAGTATATGTACCATTACCAACAAGACAACCAGCTTTCAATTATCCGGAATATCTTCGTCACCTAAGTATCGAAAGTCTGTATACCTGTGTATCAATGTGGGTCCAATGTACAATGAAACGTAATGGAAACAAGGTCACCACTCAGATTAGTTGTTTACTTCGCAATCTTTTTATGTCACAAAGTCCAATACTTGACTCCCTCTCACTTGATATGAACCCCGATATTTGGAAAGATCATTTATCGTTTCTTCAAAATGGAGCTGACACATGGCTTTCACGATTACGGGAATTACGCCTTTTTGCACCGCTTCCAAACTGGTCTATTTTTACTTATCTGACTCGGAATACGACGAGATTACGAAAATTAGACATTTATCTGATTAATTATCCTTCTATTCCGGCTGACGCACATAGCATAGCTATGTTCATTCAAGTTCAACAATCTTTAGAGCATTTTATATTGGTAAATAATACTCATCTCATTCCCAATTCTAGCACGGCACAGCCATTTCATAATTTATTACTCGGCTTAAGCGGTGCTCAACCTAGTTCTACGTCAACTGAAAGTCGATGTCTTCCGATTTTCCTTTCGGCTCTCGCCAGTCGTCAAGATGCATTATCGCACGCGGAATTCTCAGGCATTTCTTTTGAAGGAGACGCTTCGTTGAACGCTTTATCAGTTTGTTTTCAAAATCTCGAGTCATTGGAAATAAACAGCTGCGTATTTCCTACGAATGCTAGATCATGGGTCCCAACAGACTTACCTGGATTAAGAAAATTAAGCTTTTCTCCTTCGAGTGATTCTAACTATGATGTATTTTTGAGATTGATCAAAGGCGCCAAAGAACAATTACGTGAAATTTATATTGGGAACGTAGCTTCCCCTGCACCAACATACAAATCAGTCATAGATACTATTATCATAAACTGTCCAAACATCACCACGTTTGCAGCACCATGGAGTACTGATGATATGTCACAACTTCTTAATTTGTTACGTCGTTGTATCAAGTTGCAAAGTTTAACCCTTTTCAATGCTGAACAATGGAATTCATTATCTGACAATAACGATACAGATAAAAATGATGTTAGTAGTTTTTTACCAAAGCTTGGTACCTCTCTCCCGAACACTTTGAGACATCTGGACATTGAATTGCCTTGGTGGTTTACTGCGGGTGCACTCGAATCTTTTTTGAAAAATTCTAAAGCTCCGCTTGAAACATTGAAGTTTAGAAATTCTCCATGGATTTCTGATGACCATAAATATCTAGTTAAAATAGCTTTCTATCTTAATGATACGTTAAAAGACAAAAATGTAGTTCAAGGAACATACTTAAAGGTAATTACTTATTTCAACGAAATGTCCTATTATAAATTAATTTACTCATTTTTTTTTTCTGTCTATGTAGAACAATTATTTTTAAAGACATTTTGTATTTTAATAGTTTTTTGGATGCAGTCTAAAAAAAAAAAGCAAAAAAGCTAGGCTTACCAGATAAATGTTATAAAATATGTAATCAAAAATAATAATAATAATAATCTTGTAAATATAATTAAGTATTTATTCGTATATTCGAAATTTCACAAGTTGAATTTTTTTTTTTTTTGTGCAAGTTTTATACAATCGTCCTTTTTTTTTTTTTTTTAAAAAAAAAAAAAAAGGATGAACAGAAATAGTTGAATGTAATAGCAACAAAAAGTCTGATAATTTAGGCATATAATATATTTAATCAGAATGATATTCAAGTCCATTACTTTAGTATCTGCTTAATTATATTGTTGCTAATACCGTATGTTAATTTACTAATAAAAATTAATAATAATTTTACTAGAAAAAATAAGAAACGAAGGTATATGATTTACACAATATTCATTTTAACCCAAGACGTGCTATGGTATTTGTTACTTAGGCAGCTCTAGGGATGGTAAAGTTCTTAGATTCAGAACCGTAGAACCTGATCTTAGAATCTAATTTTTAAAAACCAGGTTCGATTTTTGAAACCTAGGTTTATAAGTTTGTAATAGGTTGGTTGCTTTACGACTTTGTTGACTTTTTCGGAATTTTCTATTTCCTTAGATGTCAAGATATTTCGAGATTCAATTTCGAACTCCTCATTCAACCTTTTTCTTGTGTATCTAGTTCGTCCTCAGGTATATATATCTTCACAAAAATCGCTCAATATCTCTTGCTGTTCCTTTTCAAGTTGTTTGCCACGAAACTTATACCTATTCTGTCCTTTACCGTGTGATTTCGTCGTTGGAGTCGTTATTATTAAAACTGTGAAATTGTTGTCAAAGTCTGTCGTCTCTAGGGTTATTGTTTGTTTTTATTACTCAGGCATGATTTCATTGTTGGCACTTATATTTGCCATTTTGTCGATGTCATTTTGGTGTGGTGTCATGATTCTGGGAGCTTATTGCCGGGTTTAGCTTGAATCGTAATCATTAAAGATCGTAAACGCTATTATTTAGAAATAAGGTGAGCAAGACGATTTAAATATGTGGGAAATGGACAGCGATCGTTATGCAGGTAAGATTTATGCAACTGAATTAAGAGTTACTAATTTTACAAGGTATGGGTGCACGTTAATAAGTTCTTAAAGATTCCCTTTATGAAAATGTTAAACTGCATGCATTAATAATTGATTAATATAAGATTTATTATATCGAAATTTAATTTCTTTAATATTTAAATTTAATTTATTTAATATTAGGGTGAGGGTAAATATTATAGAGTAAAATTTAACAAGGGGTATTTTTACTTAGTACCTCGAAAGTGGTTTCATAGTCAAAATTTTGAGATATAGAAGGGGTGCACTAAATGCATGGGGCACCATATAACAATGCCCTTCTCTTTATTCGATCATCGATCTATTGTTAAAAAGTTTTATATTAATTATTATTAGCGAAAAGCAACCTTTATATAGATTTTACTAATGCTAGAGAAAAATATATATGAGTGTCGCTAAAAGAAAACCCGAAAATTTAAATATAAATCATATTTAAATTTTTGGGTTTTCTTTTAGCGACACTCATATATTACGCACTCCAAAGGTATAAAAAAACTATATATCTACATTTAGCATTATTATAATAATTGCTACTAATAAAAAAAAAAAATGGTACGAAAAAAAATATAGTAATGAATTTTATTACGAAAAATTTTTGTAATCTAATTGCTTAAATAAAAAGGTTAATATATTATCTGGTAATCCAGTGATTAGAAACGAATGCTTTTATATCCTTCAATTCATCTTGATGAAATAAATTGAATGATATAAGAATCATTAGATTCTAAATTCGATAGACCCACCCCGCTTTTTACCTTAAAAAAATTAAAATGTTATTGAATTAGTATATTAAATTGTCCAAAAGAACAAATATTTATATCCTAAAAGTTTGATATTAATTAAATAAATTTGATATAAATTTGATATAAATTAAATAACTTTTTATTAATATATTTTTATTTTTTATGTCATACAAAATATTGAGAACCAAGTTTTAAAACTTGGATATAGCCAAACCAGGTTTAACTTAGGTTTGAAACTTATTATATAAAAGCCCGGTTCTTAGATTTTAATTTGAAGCCTAAAAGATTTTTGAACAATAACTTTACCATCTCTAGGCAGCTCTAAAATTTTTATGTAATTTGGGTTGAACGTTCGTTACAACATGAAACAATTTATCCATTACATCCAATTTTTTATTTTCAAATGCTTCTTTAATAGCTACAAGTTTTGATTCAGTTTCTGCTTCTACTAAAGCAAATGATTGATCAGAAGATCCTGAGTGTTCTGCTTCAAATGCTTGAAATTCTGCATTTTTTCGAGCCTTTAACTCTTCGATCTCCTTTATAGCTTCGGTTCTAGCTTCTTTCAAGCGTTGAACACGATCTATTTTATTATTATTTATTACCAAAATATATGGACGTTTTAAATACTAATTTACATAAAATAAAGCCTTACAATTCCTAGCGCCTTGAACAATTCTCGCTGCTTCTTTTTCAGCCTCTAACAGAGTTTGAATTCCTTGGGAACTTTGAGCAGCCTTAAATAAAGTAGGTTATCATATCTTTAAAAAGCCATACAAGATTTAGTTGAAGAGTTTTTAAGTGCTTACCATTTGAATTAAAACAGTTATTACTGTATTATGAAACTAAATTAATGTACTGTAAAAGTGTTTTTAGAAAGTATTAAAAGTTAGGTATGATCGACATTTTTTCCGGGGTATTATAACAGCCAATCAAAACGAACTTCTTCAATGCTACGCGACCATGCATCAGAAAACTCAATCCCATTGGGAAGGCAAAAATTGACAAAAATGAAAACAATGAAAATTAATGCGCAGGTTAATTTACCTAAAAGGAAACGTGGCCTTAGTGGATCCCATATTTGGATGGTCTACCCTGGAGATCTTGTCAGTACGTATCTACGACAACAAACCTTAATTGGACGCAAGTCACATGTTATTCACTAATAAAATCCCTGCCCGACCCCACTTCTTTTTCGATCAACATATTTTTTTCTTTTGAAGAACGGTTATGTCTCTAAACCCACTGCCAGCACCTACTGCAAATTTATTTATTTCTCCGTCTCCGCACGAAGAACACCAGTATCTCAATCTTATTAGACATATAATCGATCACGGTGAACCTCGCGAAGACCGCACCGGTACAGGGACAATATCCGTTTTCGCGCCACCACAACTCCGTTTTTCTTTACGCGATAATGTTATCCCACTTTTAACTACTAAACGTGTCTTCGTGCGAGCAGTTATCGAAGAATTACTATGGTTTATCAGAGGCGATACAAACGGAAACCACTTGACAGAAAAGGGTATTCATATTTGGGACGGTAATGGTTCACGTGAGTTCCTAGATAAAGTCGGATTGTCTCATAGAAAACCTGGAGATCTGGGTCCCGTTTACGGATTCCAGTGGCGTCACTTTGGTGCAAAATACGTTGATTGTGACACAGATTACACAGGTCAAGGTGTTGATCAGCTTCGAGAGGTTATTGATAAAATTCAAAACCATCCAAATGACAGGCGTATTATTTTAAGTGCATGGAATCCTGCTGGTATGATCGATAACATGATTATGCAATTGATTTACACGATCGATGGATTAGTGAAACCAAAATTCAGCAGATTGATCAAAATTTAGGGTTGGGCAACTTTACTTAATGAGTGGGTTACTACTTCCGACCCGGAATTTGGTCGATCTGCTGAATTTTGGTTGTGCCATTAATCTGATATCTAAACAGTTATCTGATTCTTATTATAAGACTAATTCTACTTTTAAACTATGATTAGATTTAAAGGAAATGGCATTGCCTCCATGTCACATGTTCTGTCAGTTCTACGTGTCAAATCCGAATTCTAAAACGAACATGCGAAGCCTTTCATGTCTTCTTTATCAACGTTCTTGTGATATGGGTCTCGGTGTTCCTTTCAACATTGCAAGTTATGCACTTTTGACAAGAATGATAGCTCATGTTACAGGTCTTTCACCGGGTGAATTTATTCACACTATGGGTGACGCACATGTCTATCTTGATCACATAGACGCGCTAAAGGTACAACTTGAACGAGAACCCCGAGCATTTCCTCGTTTGGAAATTAAACGCGAAATAACAGATATTAACGACTTCAAATTAGAAGATTTTGAGATAATCGGATATCAACCATACGGGAAAATAAAAATGAATATGTCTACTTAAATATATATGCAATAATTAAAGATATTTCGGAATTTTGTTATATGATTCATTTATTTTGTAAAGCTTGTTATTTACATATTAGAGCCTTTTTTTTACATGATTGGTTTTTATCTTTGATATTCAAGTTATAAAATGCAAAAACAATTGATTACCCTAAATTGAAAAGATTGATGGACAATTATTATTGTGATTTTGCTTTGCATCTTAGACTCTTCCATGAAATATGCTTTCTTCAAGTCCAACGGTTGTCAACAACAATTCCTTAACCTCGGTTGGTGGATTCAACCCAAATTTCCTTGCTCTTTCCCAACGATCTAACCTTTTTAACCCAACGCACGGTCCATATTTATAATTCAAATCAAACGCTTGAAGGACTTTTTCAGCCTCTGTGAGGCCCTCATCATGAAAAACTAAAATGTCAAATAAAGATTAGATATAGTTCATAATACTATTTAGTTAGTATGTGGGAACTATCCTTCACCAGTTATAGTCTCATTCTGTATATCACTTTTATCTGAACTTTTAAGCTTTTTATTTGGATACTTATGTTCTTCGGGATCTCGTTTTGAAACAGTGAGTATGTTGGTCAACGTTTGTTGAACATATTTTTTGGGCTTCTTCCTTAGAGGCGGCATTTATATTTTGTAATAACTGCTTTATTACGAAAAGTCTAAAGTAGGCTAGGAAACAAATTTCACAGAAAAATCTCACGCTTCGTGGTATATACAAAACTATTCTGTAAAATTTTGGAGATAAATTTGTCCCATTTCTACTTACTCACCCCCATTTACTTATTTAGGTATTTTCGCTCTCTTTCTCACGTGTTTATTGCAAATCTCACGCTGATTGGCTGATTTATTTGATAATACTCAACAAGGCATTCGTTTTCTGGACCTAAATTCTAATGAGTAGACAACATAAAAAACACGGCCCCATGTGCAAATGTGGTAAAGCTCTTAAATGAATACAAGAATAGTTATTTTCGTGTTTATATCCAACAAAGCTTTAGGTTTCTGGATCAGAAATTCCTTCTTTGGGCTTCCAAATTCCTGACAATGACAACGCCAAGAGATATACCACATAAAAATACAGGACCATGTGCAGTACGTGGTAAAGATCTTAAATGAATACAAGAACAGTTTCGATATTGTGGTATGAAAATTTCCGGGTTTATATTCATAAGACCTATATTCAATAAGATCTCAGCTTTAATAATCCTAACGTAGGTTTGATTTCTACTAGCGGCTTATGGTCGGATATTCATTTAATTGGTTCGCTTGATTCAATCATCCAGATAACTTATTTATACCCTTTAAAGTATTTTATTGAGAGTATAATGTTTACTGCTAAAACAATACAAAATTCATTATTTTTTACTTCGTGATCTCAAAACTGAAATATTAGTCTACTAAATGTTTTAGGTAAGCTTTGATTTTGAAAGACTTTATAATATTATTTAACCAATTATTTTAATTAATATTTATTTCGTGTGCGTTAATTGGTCTTATTTATTGCCAAGTAAGTCGGCGTAATAGATGTTAATCGGTCCCGCAGCAATTATCAGTCAACTTTGAGCAAAATTTATAAAGAATTAGCATTTTTAACTACTATTCGTCTAGTAAACAAAATTATAGAAAAATTATTTTTCTATAATAGATCCTAATAGAAGCTTATCGATTTCTGCATTTATTTTGAGCTATTTAGATGGGACCGATTAGCTAAATTTTCTCCACAATGTTCGGACCCTAATCGGTCTTATTTAAATTACTCTAAAATTAATGCAAAAGCCAATTAAACAATGTTATAGAAAAATAGCATTCCTATAACTTTATTTATTGGACAAATAGTAGTAAAAATGCCAATTCTTTATAAATCTTGCTCGGGACTGATTAACATCCCTACGCGTAGGTGTGATTTAGACGATATTGTTTAACTTAATATGGACTAAAAGTTGAATGCGTCTCCAGTAGAGATGGGCACTATGCAGCATGGTGCTTAATTGTTACATGATTAAAATTATGAAAATCACATCGGATGTTAATT